GCCCTAATCAGTATGTGGTGTAAGAGCAACATGCCACCTTTGCTGCAGCGCAGGCAGAGAGCGCCTTTATTGCTAGGAAATCTTTTCAGAAGCACTGAAATTACATGTTATCCCATTGCCCTGAGAGTGGTGTGCCACCAGGAGGGCTGGTGCTGGGTACCTCCAGAGTTTCAAATTCAAAGCTTTTTTTAGCAAGGGGTTTTTTGTTGTTGTTTTGTTTTGTTATTAAGATGCAAACTCCTGAAGCCCCTTCCCCCATGCTTTGCTTGAAGTCATCTGATTGACTCAGCCCTGCTCTGCACAGATCATGGCTCAGATCTGGCTCAGTAGGGCCTTTGGCCAGCTAATGCACTAGGGAACAGCTGCTGTTTTGGGAAGCAGAGCTAGAAACAGGGCTTTTAAAAGCACTGAACTTGCCCCTCTGGGACAGGCAGGTGTATAGCCAGAGAAGCTACCAGGTGGGGAGCATGGTATGAAAGACTTGGTTTGGAGGAGCAGGTGGACAAGACCCTCAGTGAGCTTATAATAATAATATGTGGGGCTTAGCGTCATGCCAGTGGCAGAAATCAGACTGAGGCAGGTGTGTGCCTGTGATCTGCTCATTTTTTTTAAGATGAAGCAAACATGAGGTGAACGCAGGAGGTGCATGAGCTTACTGGATGTAGAGTACATGAGATGTGGGTATGGTGGCTGGTGAGTGAGGTCAGCAGGTGGGGTGTCTTGAGGAAAGGAGGAATGGGAAAGGAGGGATGGGGAAAAGATTGGACAGAGGGGAATGGGAAGAAGTGGATGAAGGAATGACAGGGTTTTGGGTGGTCAGGGAGAGGGGAGCAGACATCTCCCCTCTGCCCCTTGCAAGTGGTGGAACATGTTGGTCTCTGCTCTTCTCCTCACCCTTCACATGCACTGAGCTGTGGCAGGTCCTGTATCATTCTCTGCCTTTTGGTCCTGTGTTCAGCTTTTCAGGGTTTGAGGCCTCTTAGGGTATGTGAGGGCCTCTTTCCTCTCCTTCCCAGTCTGAGTGGAAACCACAGGGCCTTGTTCATTCCTCAGAGAAGATCTGAACTTCTGGATCCTTTGGGGCCCTGTCATTGTGAACCCTTTTGCTCCTCTCTGCACGTGTCCCCGGCCCTTCCAGTGTGTCCTCAACTTCTTTTTGGCCCCTGGCGGGATCTTGACAATACTCCATCTGAAAAATGGGAAGGCACAAGCCGTCCCTTTGTACTGAGGGAAATCTGGCTGAGCTACCAGCGATGAGGCCAGCACCAAGGGAAGCTGGATGGCTGGCTCCCGGGTGCAGCTGGGGGCCCATGCCAAAGGGAGATGAGCTGAGAGAAGTCATCACAAAGGGGGCATGGGGTTGGAGCCAAGCCTGATCTGAGGAGCAGCTGCAAAACTAAGGACGTTTACAGCCTTCCTTTGAGCCGCTGCCTGTGGGGAATGTGTTCAGCTGCAGCACTGAAAACCTGTGTTGGATCCCATAAGGTACAACATGCACTTTCTTTCGATTGCATGCATGAGGTTGTAGAGAGGAACCTGTGTCTGTCCCTTGCCACTTCCCCCTGCTTTCCCTGCCTTTTGTCACAGCTCGACCTCCGGGGCCTTGCACAGAGACCTCAGCTGTGGTCCATCCACGTGGATCACTCTCAACAAATGCTGGAGGAAAGGTTGCAGGGAGTGGCGGTGTGCTTCTGGTGAGCTTAGAGCCAAGGGGGCCTGCATGTGTGTGTCACCTCTGCTGTTGTTTTCTTCAGGACTTGGGGGTTTGAAGAAATTGCTGGTTTGCTGAGCTCTCTATGAACAGCACCAAGACAGTCCTCGGTCAGTGAACGTGCAGTGTAGAGGATAGCAACATGGCTCACTTGCCCAGTCCCAGTTAGAAAGGGATGGCTGAGTTCTCATGGGGGCTGAGTGAGCAGAGCTGGTATGGACAGGATGCAGCATTTCTTGCTGGATCAAGATTTTTGTCTCGGAAGCTTGTCTAGTTTCTTTCCCATCTTATCAGTCTTTCTAACAAAAGCTATTGTCTCTCCTTCCAAACTTTGCCTTGCTTATAGCCTTAGACCGTCGTAGCTATAGCATAGCCACTGCTATGTGGATGGAGAAGCTAGCACCTTTGTCTTATTTCTTTTCTTTTATTCCAGGACATCTGCACAGGGGCAGAATTAAGGTAGTTTGGGTGCTTGGTTTGAGAACTGCAAATATAATGCTGCATTTCCCAAATTTCTAACATTAGAACTTCTTTTTTTTAACCTTTAATTTTTTTTGAGAATAAAATGCTCTTCCATGAAGAATATGTGCTTGTAACCTTAACTTCACTTAACAGAGGTTTATATTGCATGATGAGAACATCTCACCATTTCAGTAACGTACTGGAGAGACGAGGAAGCCTTAGGGAAAATCAGTGCCTCTTTCCTACCCTGACCCGGGCTTACACAAGTTCCCAAGGGGATGTTTGCTGCTGAGGTGTTGAGGGGGGGTGTGGGCAGCAATCTCCCACATGCGGGCATCAGGAAGCACTCAGGAGCAGGGAATTTACTTGGGTAAAGACAGCTGAGTGAGTTTGATGGGTTTTTTTGAGGACATGTTAGCACAACCTGGTCTGAGCACCCGATCTCTGACTCCCTTCCCAGCAGAACCTAGTGGTTTTTATTTTCTGCCATTTAGAGTGCCTGAGGTTTTAGAGAGGGTGTGCAAGTAAGCAAGATTTCAGCTGGGATATTGAACCTCCAAGGAGTAGAGAAGGCAGTGATCTCTGCCAAACACATTAGTGAGGAACATTAAAGAAAACACTAGGTGGTGCGTTATAGAAAATTAGGATTATGTGCCCCTGGCCTTTAGTCCTTGCCGCAGTGAATTCAGTAAGTGCTCGGCCACAGGTTTTGTGTTGTTCCTGGTTACTGTACGTGCTTGCCAAATTCTGACAGTCAGTCTGGGCACTGGCTCTTAGAGCCTATTTCAGCTATCAGTGAGCCATTGGAGACTGGGAGCAAAAATGAAAGGGCAAGAACTCTTCAGACCAGCGCCCTTCTTCTTGGAAAATTGGCATACTTATTTTTTGTGATTTGATGGAGTTGTAAAATATTGTTTTTGCCAGGCTGTGCTCTGCTTGCCCCGTGCAAGAGGCTCTCCTGGGTGACAGGCTCTGTTTCTCCCTCATCACAGACTGCTCTATGGACCTGCAGTGCCTCCCAGCTCCTGTGGCCACCTCCATCCCTGTGAACGAGGGGCTGGCTCCTTTGCCCTCTGATTCAGATGCAAAGGGCTTGCCTACCTCGCTCCCTGCTGCTAGCTTGCTCCCATCTCCAGACTGTGTGTCCCTGCCAGTGCCTGACGGTGTGGAGGACTTCACAGATGGAGACATCATTGGGGAAGAACTGGATTCCCTCCTGGACTCCCTCGCTGAAGGGTCACCATATCCTCTAGTAAGAGTGGGCAGTGCATGGGTCCCCTGCTTCTTGATCCAAATAGGTCCTTGGAGCATGTGGATATGCATGCTGCCTCTCTCTCTGTGTCACTCTTTCCTCCTAGCTCTTCCTCTGACAAAACTTATTCATTCCTTACTTTACTGCTGCACCCGGCTTGTGAGTATCTAAAGAGCCCACCTCCAAGCCTGCTTTGCTGTGTGCAACTTCGTGGAACTGCCCCTCAAAAGTTACCCAAGATAGCCTTCCCCCGCCATCACCTTCCTCCTGGCCTCTGGTGTCCATGGAGCTGAAGCACGCCCGAGGGTAGAAATGAGTGTGCTGAAGCAGGAACGATGGATATATTTCATACAGTGGGCATGCTCTAATCTCCTTGTATTTTGTGCAAGCTGCATTCAGCCTAAGCTCTTTGAACAGGTCTGGGAGCTGTAGAGACAATCTGTATTCATACTTACATTGGATTTTAGTTGCTAGTGTTGCTGATATGCAAGCCAACTCGGGTCTGAAAGCAATAGAATCATATTCATGCAGGATGCCTCTCAAGCCAAAAAGCTCTGATCAGAGGCACCATGAGTGATGGTTGTTACCCTGACCTCGATGCTGTGTGAGCTCAGCTGTACTGTTTCTCGACCAGAGCTGGTTTAAGTGCCCAGTGCAGGGCTCTGCCTTGCAAACTGATGAGCTCAGGTAGCCCAACACCTCCTCAGGGACCTTGGTCCAGACTGTATGTGGTGTAGATAGATTGGAAGGTCTGTGGGAAGTCTGCAGGTGGATGGAGCTGCCGGGTATCCTTTTGCTTCGGATAATACAGCATGCACTTGAGTGGGAGCCTGTTGCTCTCTGTGTTCACTCATTCTCTGCTCCTCATTCCTAATGTGCTGTTTATCCTCCTCCTTCCCAATTCCCCAAAGTCTCTGGTCCAGGGCACCATTCCTACCAACCTGCCAACAGAGATGCCCCAGCTGATCCCTGTGTTTCCGGGGGGAACTCCGCTGCTGCCCCCAGTTGTGACAGCCAGCATCCCTGTCTCCACCCCGCTGCCACCTGCCTCCTTTGGCCTGGTGATGGATCCCACCAAGCAGCTCTCCTCCTCCTCCTCTGTCCTGGATGCCTTTGAGGCCCCGCCAGGAGGAAGTGGCAGCTCCCCCTTAGATTCGCTGGATTCCCTGGATCTGCTCCCCTACACAGACTCACGGCTTGATGCCCTGGACTCTTTTGGGACAAGCAGAGGGTCGCTGGATGCCTTGGATTCCTTTGCCATTGGTAGGTGTGGGGCCGATGGGGTTTTGTTCTGTTTTACCTGTGAATGCATGCCAAAATTATTTTCTTCAGTGCTGAGGTGCTGAGGACATCTGTCATATAGCTCTGTCTGCCAGTGCTGCAGAATGGGAGTACAAATGTAGAATGTCTTGGACAGACCAGCTGAATATGTCTAGCTCAGGAGTAATGTGAAAGGCTATGGGTCTGTGTAATCCCAGATAACGAGTATGTGCATGGTGTGAAATCTCAGAGGTGAAAGGAACACAAAGGTGTATAATGATGAGCGATGAGATTTAAACCTGGTGTCCAGGATACCTCCCTTTGCAGAATTTTCTAGGCTGTAAGATGATTCCTCCACCCTTTGCAATGACTCTGACATTTTGGACAAAATGAGCAAAATCTCGGTGACTGTTTTAGGTGATATAGGACCTTTTTGTGCTGGGCAGAATGGTAGAGGCCAAGATGGGTCTTTCCCATCTCTGGATTCAGGGCAGTGAGTGCCCTCTTGAATGGGACCCTCATGGTACTCTCATGTCACAAGGAGCAAAGCTGTGGAGGATGGTGAGCAAAGAGTAAGTCCCCGCCTGTCTCCAGAGGGAAGGCAGGCATCTTCTTCAATAACTTGTCCCCAGTATTGCAGCAAAAGTATTTTGAGAAGAGCAGAGATTGTCCAGTCAGCACTTTAACACTCAGATTCACCTCAGCATTGGCCTGTCTTGGAGTTGCCACCTTGGGAATGTTAGCACTCAGCAACATAGAGTTGGGTTCAATAGGATTTGGGGAACAAGAGGGCCTTTCCTGGAGTTTTTCCAAGACTCAGACAGGGGGCTTGGGGGAAAAGTACTAAAATGTTACGGAATAAATAAAGCAAGTGGATTTAATAAGCATTTGTTTGTCTTTTTGTGAGCAGAATGCCTCTGAAAGTGAAATGATTGTTTTTCTTTCTGGGGCTTTTTTCCCCTTCTTTTGCCCAGAAGAAACTAGCCCTCAGGAACTGCGACACCCACCTGGCAACCAAAAACCATCCCCCGTGGTGAGTGAGCCGCTCCCCCGTGCTGATGTCCCAAGGTGCTCTGGAGCCAAGGTAGTAGTGACTTGGGTGGTGTAGGTAATTTGGGCCCCTCTTCTTAATCTGCCCCAGTGGGTGTTGCCTCCCATGTTGTGGCAAGGCAGGTAAAGATTTCACCACAGTCAGTAGAAAGACATTTCTTCCATCTTCATTTTTGTCTGCAATTCGGCATATTGCCAAGGTAATCATGGTGTGACCTAGGTTGCAGGTGATCAACAGGTGATCATGGAGACCAGCGTCCCGTTATATCTGGCAGCCACACAACACTGAAGGATGGGGTGGCGTAAGACAGCTTTGTCTTAAAACTAGTGAGGTTCTTTGCTCCTCTCTGCCTCTGTCAGGAAGCTTTTTCAGATACACTGTCCTGCTCCTATCCCATGTCTCCAGTGTTGGAGGAAAAGAGGAGGATTATCTATGGTAGCAAGCTTGGAACAAGAATTATTCCAAGCTCCTGGTGTCCTGCTATCCTTGTTACTTCAATGCGGAGCCAAGTCTCTGTCCTTAGATTAATCTGCTACCTGAAGACTCACTGATAAGTGGTTTGGTTTTTTCCCAGGTTGGGATAGGGTTGATTTGAGAATCTTCAAATGCAGAGTTGGTCATGATGGTAGGAATAGGAAGGAGTGAGAGGGGCATCTTGTTCTGTGGCTCATGATAGAAAACTGAGGTCCCTTACCAAAAGAGAAAGAGGCCCATCTTTGAAGTGAACATACCACACTGCTTGTTACCTTGAAAATGTTGCGTGCAGCTTTTTTGGAAATGTAATTTCAGATGTGAATATTTTGATGAGAGAGAAAATGAGGAAGGTTTTTGAGAGACTGGAATGGGGAAAGGGATTAGAGAGGATTCCTACTCATGTAGTTGCAGAGCTGAGAAGAGAGGTATGTGTGTTTTCATTCAGGTCAGCCTTAGTGGAGTGAGTCACCCAGCTGTGCCCAGGGTCACTGAGCACCTGCTGTCACAGCCGGAACCAGTAATGCCCAACACAGCCCTGCTGGTGAAGAACCCCCTGGCATCTACTCATGTCTTCAAACAAGCCTGTCATATCTGCTACCCCAAAACAGGTGATGCATTTGCTCTGCCACCCAGAGCACTGGCCCAGACTAGGATTTGCTTTTCCCTGGACTGATGGGATTATTCTCTCCTGCAGGACCCAAGGCTGGTGATTATACCTATCGGGAAGGCTTGGAGCACAAGTGCAAGCGGGACATTCTGCTGGGCAGGCTGAAGAACTCAGAAGACAAGACCTGGAAGAGGATCCGTCCTCGCCCAACCAAAACCAACTTTGTAGGCTCCTATTACCTGTGCAAAGGTGATCTGGAGGGGATAGGGCTGTTGGTGGCTGGGAAGGTTGGGAGGGGACTTCCAGTTGGTATCGCCTGCTGTCTTTGGGGTCTTCCTGTCTCATCAGTAGCCCATGGATTGGGGGGCTCAGTACAATGAAAGGCAATGAGCTCCCATGCTGTGGAAAGCAGACAGCTTTTAAAGTGGTGGAGCAGAAGGCATAGTGAGGTGCTGTGCACAGTGAAGCACTCAGAGCTGCTCTGTTGACATGGGCTTTTCTGAGAACCTGCCTCCTGTACATGTGCCTGCATTAGTCCCACTCCACCCAGCAGCCCCATGGCAGGGCTGTGGTTCTGCCTAGGGGGAAGCTCTCTGCCTGCTCCTTTGCTCCAGCCCGTCCCTTTTGTATGTGCAGGCAATGTGACCAGACTGGTCCCTAAGACAGTGTCATTACAAAGTACCTAATGAGGTGGAGAGATTGCAAGAGCCAAGATAACCAGGCTCCTTAGTGCTGGGCCGCTAGGAGAAATTAATCTGGATTGGCTTTAAAAGGCGTTGGTTAAATTGTGGTCAGTCCCTGGCCAGGCACTGAATTAAAGCAGGCCTCCATTTTGAGACAGTTTCCACAACAGATGGCATTGCTTGAGATTGTCACCATTCAGTAGTTTGCATTAACTTTCCTGAATGCTTTGATATTAGACAGACTTGGGGGAGAGGTGTCTTGTCTTTTTCCTTTGACTCTGTGTTTTATTGCTTTCAGCTCCTTGTGAGGTGTGGGCAGTGGGAGGAGACGAGAGAGATTTAGTTTCTGACCGGGCCGCTCTCCCTGTGTGGTGGTGTGCTGTTTGTTGCTTTGTAGATATGCTTAACAAGCAGGACTGTAAGTACGGGGATAACTGCACCTTCGCGTACCACCAGGAAGAGATCGACGTGTGGACGGAGGAGAGGAAGGGGACCCTCAACCGTGACCTCCTCTTTGACCCACTAGGTGGGATCAAGCAGAGCAGCCTCACCATTGCCAAGCTCCTCAAGGAACATCAGGGCATCTTCACCTTCCTCTGTGAGGTACAGAGCTGGCGGGAGGGAGCAGGCACCCTTCATCATCTCCTCAGTATGTATCTAGATCATTGGTATGTTGATAGTTGCCATCACAGAAGCATGGTGGGATGACTTACACAACTGGAGTGCTGTAGTGGATGGCTATAAACTCTTCAGAAGGGATATGCAAGCAAGGAGAGGCGGTGGGGTAGTCCTGTATGTCAGTGAGTGTTTTGACTGTCTAAAGCTTAATGATGGTGACAATAGGGTTAAGTGTTTATGGGTGAGAATCAACAGGAAGGCCAACAAGGCAGGTATCATTGTGGGAGTCTGTTATAGACCACCCAGTCAGGATGAAGAGGCAGACAAAATATTCTATAAGCAGCTGGGAAAAGTCTCACAATTGCTAGCCCTTGTTCTCAGGGTGGAACTTTAACTTACCATATGTCTGCTGGAAATACAGTACTGTGGAGAGGAAACAGTTTAGGAGGTTCCTGGAGTGTGTGGAAGATAACTTCCTGATAACAGCTGGTGAGTGAGCCAACTAGGGAAGGTGCTCCACTGGACCTGCGGTTTGCGAATAGAGGACAACTTGTGCGGGTGATGTGATGGTTGGAGGCCATCTTGGGCACAGCGATCATGAAATGATAAGAGTTTTTCAGTTCTTGGAGAAGTAAGGAGGGCGGTCAGCAGAACTGCCACCTTGGACTTCCAGAGGGCAGACTTTGGCCTGTTTAGGAGCCTGGTTGACAGAGTCCCTTGGGAGGCAGTCCTGAAGGGCAAAGGAGTCCAGGAAGGCTGGACATTCTTCTAGAAGGAAATTTTAAAAGTGTTGGAGCAGGCCATCCCTATGTGCTGAAAGACGAGCTGGTGGGAAGATGAGTGGCCTGGCTGAACAGAGAGCTTTGTCTGGAACTTGGCAGGGGGCGGGGGGTAAAGAGAGTTTATGACCTTTGGAAGAAGGGGCAGGAAACTCAGCAGGACCACAAGGATGTTGTGAGGTTATGCAGGGAGAAAATTAGAAGGGCCAAAGCCCACCTAGAACTTAATCTGGCTACTGCTGTAAAAGACAGTTGAAAAATGTTTCTGTAAATATATTAGCAACAAAAGGAGGTCTAAGGAGAATCTCCGTCCTTTGTTGGATGTGGGGGGAAGCATAGTGACAAAGGATGAGGAAAAGGCTGAGGTACTTAATGCCTTCTTTGCCTTAGTCTTTAATAGTAAGACTAGTTCTCTGGGTACCCAGCCCCCTGAGCTGGGAGACAGGGAACAGAATGAATCCCCCATAATCCAAGGGGAAATGGTTAGTGACCTGCTACACCACTTAGACACACACAGATCTATGGGGCTGGATGGGATCCACCCAAGGGTACTGAGGGAGCTGGTGAAAGTGCTCACCAAGCCAGTTTCCATCATTTATCAGCAGTCCTGGCTAATTGGGGAGGTCCCAGCTGACTGGAGGTTAGCAAATGTGATGCCCAGCGACAAGAAGGGCTGGAAGGAGCATCTGGGGAACTACAGGCCTGTCAGTTTGACCTCAGTGCCAGGGCAGGGTCATAGAGCAGATCATCTTGAGTGCCATCATGTGGCACATACAGGACAACCAGGTGATCAGGCCCAGTCAGTATGAAAGGCAGGTCTTGCTTGACTGACCTGATTTCCTTCTATGACAAGATTCTGCTTAGTGGATAAGGGAAAGGCTGTGGATGTTGCCTCCCTAGACTTCAGTAAAGCCTTTGACACTGTTTCCCACAGCATTCTCCTGCAGAAACTGGATGCTCTTGGCTTGGGCAGGTGTACTCTTTGCTGGGTAAAAAACTGCCTGGGTGGCCAGGCCCAAAGGGTTGTGGTGAATAGAGTTGAATCCAGTCACACGTGGTGTTCCCCAGGGCTCAATATTGGGGCCAGTTCTGTTTAATATCTTTATCAATGATCTGGAAGAGGGCATCGAGTGCGCCCTCAGTAAGTTTGCAGGCAACACCAACTTGGGCGGGAGTGTTGATTTGCTTGAGGGTAGGAAGGCTCTACAGAGGGATCTGGACAGGCTGGATC